GAAGTCATGGTGTATAAAAAACAACAAAACTGACCCAATATGCTTTTCTTTTTCCTTTGGCAGATCTTCCAACATACATCTGGCCGTCAATGGGGGTTTCCATTCATGCCTGCAATGTTTTCCATAGCGTGGCATCTCAGCGAAGTGGAAGGCATATGACAATTTGGCTTTTTGGCTATGGCATGCCACCATGGCATCCCTCAATCAAAAGCACTGAGTGACATGCCTTTCTTGCACTGCCTGGCATGCAATGTGCAATATGTTCAAACACGTTGCTGCCCCTTCCATATTGTGTATTAACAGATTCCTTTCTGTTGTATTGTTTTCTTCCACAAGCTATTAAATATAGTGGAAGAAATTTTATATTTAGATTGGTCATAGGCATTGAGTAAATGCTTTTGCTCATTTAACAATGTGCTCATTGTGGGCACGTTCTGTGCTCCGGTAAAGCCCTTTGCATGAAATCACCCGTGGGAAATAGCCCTGAGCACGGCGGAACCTGGAAAGCTTAGCTTCGAGCAGGAGAATTCTTGAATTACATCCTGCTGGCATATTTACTTATGTGTGTCCCTTTACAGTCAGCCATTCCTAGCTGTCACACTGGCCTCTGAAGACTGCTGGAAATTGGCATGCTGAGATGGAGCAGTACTTCGGTTGTTCTAGTTATGTCAAGGTATTGACCAAACCAGTCATGGCTGGCAGAACCCAAAAGCTGCTGTAAGTCACTTTTCCATGCATCATTCTTCTGCACATACTTTGTGTGCTCTGGGTAAAGCCATGGCTCTGAGCCATTTTCCAGACTCCTCTGATTCCTGCTTTCCATTCTCAAAGAAAGTGTGGATGATTTCAGGTAAGGTATTTTTGTAAGGGAGAGAAGCATGGTTTATTTGTATACCTTTTGTTTGTTTAGCAGAAGCAAATGCTGCATCTGAACTGCAAGTCCAACAGTGTCCCATAGCTATAGCATGTTAATTAGCACTGGTTCCTCTGTTTTGATCTTTCATTTAGGTGACAAATGTACAAAACCCTTTTGGATAAAAGAGTACCTTATGGTTAGGTATCCAACAGGACCACTATGTCTTATTTATTCTGATAAGCTTTTGAAGTAAACTGTTGTCACCAGGTGCCCAGCTGTGATCCTGCCACTGGGTACCTGTTTCAGACTAGAGCATGTCTGCCCTTACTGTGTAGGCTAAAACCTCTCACTTTCGGTCTCACTTCGTCCCATCACATTTCTCTTCAGTTATAGGCACGTGTGATGCATGTACTTGTCTGCTTTACATGGGTGGTTTTATTACTGTAACAGAGAAGCAGTTTACCATGAAGATTCTGGGTTTATATCCACTGGGTTCAGTTTATACTACTTTTTGGTATTACATTTTTACACATATAGCAGTGGTAGGAAGCTGCCTGGCAGGTATCTTTCAAAGCTGAAACATCAGCTGCATTCTTTAATGACATCACTTTCCGTAATATGGCACTTGCTTTTTACTTAAGTCCTTACATTATATGTGCTGTATTGTTGGATCATTCTAATAGGACCGTCTGAGAGAAGCCAGATTTAGTATGTATTCAGCTTGCACTTCACCTAGCAATCTCCAGTTGACACTTAGATCACTTTTACCTTAAAGGACAAAATCAGAACAATATGAACAAATGCACAGCTTTCCTTCTCCAACTAAAATCATAGATAATGACTTTACTGATACTTTTTAGCCCCAACCATTAATGATACTCCTGAAATCTGCCATTCGCTTTGGTCAGCTTGATTCAATTCCCCTATTTTCCTCTTACCTTTCCTTCCCTGACTTCTCAAACCTTATCTTTCTGATGAAAGAGATATGAACTTGCAGTGTCCTATACTGCTACCGAGTACTACTGCATGCAGATATGTTCCTGAGCAAGCGTGATCTGATTAAAGCATAGAGTAAGAAGGGCTGTATTGGATTCCCTGCTGCTTTTCAGTCTTCTTGCCTGCTCAAACAGTTTCAGCCAAGATTTTTTAGAGTGTATAAGAGCTATAGGATGACTTTTATGAATGCTGTCCTTAAAAATGTTGTACCTCAGGCTCTCCACCTGAACAATGGGTATAATATCATCTCTTTTCAGAAGATATTGCAAAGATGACTAGTGGCACGCTGCGGTGCTGTGGGTGAAGGTCCTGCAGCTGGGCTCACAGAAATCCTGAAGTTTTTCATGAATTATATAGGCTGATCCTGTTACGCTCTCGCCTTTGCTATTTCAGATGGCTGTTGCCTCTCTAAAAGTGTCAGAGGTTTAGAAAATAGAAACAAATTGCTGCAATGCAGTTGTGAACACACTACGTAACACTGCTCTTCTTAAATATTTAGAACTGTGGCCTTTTCTTAGTTATAATGGCTTTTCCATAACAGAAGAGTTTACTTCCTAGAGAAAGCAATGGTATGAATGTTAGATGGTAATGAATTTCTGAGCCAATATCAGAAGAAAAGGATAAATGCAAAGGTAGGTCCTAAGGGATGCAAAAATAATTTTATTGTGATTATCTTTTAGTGCAGATAAAGCTACTACATTTTCTTTTTGCTCTCCCTTTGATGATGAAAGCAACAGGAAAAGAATACCACCACCACAAAGCCAATGAGACACTGCAATATGACTCAGCGCCTGGGGCTGACTCCAAGTACCTACAACAGTGCACTGTTGATCCCAGCATGTGTTGCTTACACGTAGGTCAGTGCTTTGAAGCTGCACTATGCAGAAGCCGACGAAGAGCTGCTCCTCTGGGTGCAACAGGACCAGCTCACTGGAAAGCTAAAATATGAAGACTTTTGCTGTAGGCATGGAGCTCCTTAATAGAGAACATCTTGTAAATTCTCATGTGGAGCAATGAGTTGAAACACTAGGAAAAGAACTGACTTGCACCTTTTCCTTTGTAATACAAATCACGTTCCTTACCTCCATCAATGACTCCAGTAAGCATTCCTTGTATACATGAAGTTGATTAAAAGTCTCTCTGAGCCTTCAATAAACAAGCCCACTAAAGCTGTCTGTTTATACAGACAGAAAATGAGCTGCTCCAATTAGAATTTCATGAGCTCACAAATGTTTCTCTCTAGGAAGATGAGGTAGAAACCATCTCAAAAGGATTAATGTCTAAGCTTCCTGAATTAAAATTGCAACAGGTGTCAATTTTACATGCCTGTCCCTGCAACAAATGTGACATTATCCGTTTGATTGATGACAGAGTAAAAGATCGTATTTTCTTTTGTTTCAGAGTTCCCTTTTGAAAGTGAAAAGATGCCATTTTCCATACCATTCTACCTAAATCACCTCCTAGCATTTTCTTAATTGAATTCTGTCTAAGGAAGATACTTGAAACCACATTTTCTGAAGGTTGCTTTGATAACGAGCACACCTTTGTATCTTTAAAGATGATAAGAGGTACACTTCTCATGATATTGTGTAAGTTTCTAAGGTTTAGTGAGTTTCAATCTGACATATCTTCTCTATGTAAAGATACTATATACATCTCTGTATAAATCTTCTCAGATGAAGCTTCCTAAGTGTGATCTTGTCCTACCTTTCTCTCAAAGGGGCAACGTCTACTTATGATTAACCTCAGAGCAAGAAGAATTTACTAAACAAGTTTAAAGAAAGCATTGTAGTTACCCTAAACAAAGCCCATATTTAGTTGCCTATTAGCCTAGCTCTACATAGGTAAGCTAGAAGGGAAACCTTTATTTTCCAGCTGGTTTGGGGACATGAAATATGACCAAATTGATCTTAGGCTGTGTGTATTGCAGCTTCTCAACCTTTTCCCTGTACTTCACCAACACAAAGGGTTTACAGCCTCTCAAAGCCGCAGATTTATTTCCATGCTACTTTCCAGTGCTGATGGGTACAAGGAGCATTTGAGCAAGTTTGTTGCAACTATGTTGGAAATCTCCATGGTTCGCGATGCTTCTTGGCTGGCTCCCAAATATTTCGCTTGGGATATTATTTAGCTCGAGGTATGTAGTCTGAGATAGTATTTAGCTCGAGGTAGATACAGTTGCAGCAGTGACAACATGGACTGACAAAGCCAAGGGAGACTTGTGGCGAAGCTGGTATTTGAAAGAAAAGCTTTGAGTATTCAACATAGATGTGGAGACAAAGCCAACTAACACAACCACACTGATCACTAACTCTCCATCATCTGAAAAAAACAGCTGTTTTCCTGACCGAAATATTGACTGCTAAGTTGCCTAACACGAGAAACGCATTCAGTGTTAAGCTCCCTGCACGAAGGAGAATCGACGAGACAACGCCAAACCCGAGTTTGACTGAATAGCCAGGAATGGCCACCTTCGGGGCTGGCAGAGGCTGGCTTTGTGTTAACGGCGTGGTTTTGCAGGTTGTGAGGTTTCCTCTCAGGCAGATAAAGCGCCTTTCGGAGCTATTAAAGGGAAGCATTTGTGAAAGCAGTGAACCCGGAGCTCTGGAGCCTGCCCACCCTGGGAGCTCACCCAAACCCACCCGGGGCGGACTTCACGCCTGTGGCACTGTCCGCAGAGGGAAAACTCGGGCTGGGGTATTGCGTTCCCTTCTGGCTGGCTCCCCTCTCCCCGTGTCTCCACTGCAGCTCAGCTCCCCACGCAGGGGCTCCTCCACCCCAGCCCCGGCTCTGCGACCCTCCCTTGGG